CAGTATATAACTCTCTTACTTTGTAATATACAAATGGTGAGTATTACATTTCATTTTTTTTTACTTAAATTTTAAAAAATATGTGTTTTGCTTTTTAACTACATTTTCACAGAAACCGTTTCACTGGAATGCTATTATTTCATGTTGCGGTAACTTTTTATAACACATTCTTTCAAAATTTGTGACCACCAATTATTTTGCATATTTTGTCAATGATATCAATCACAAAGACCAGTAGATGGTAAAAATGATGCTATTTGAAAGAACCATGTAATACAAGATCTCCTGTGAGTGATTGATTGTCGTTTTGGCAACAGTGATGGTTTTTGCCTTAACCTAGATAATCAAGTTAGCATTTTCTTCGTGCTGAGCGAGAGTTAGAGTGAGAAATGCGGGGGTCATCAAATGTGATCATTAATTCAATAGGTGAAAACCGTCACAAGTTTTTTTTTCCTTATAATACAACACAATAAAGTGTTATTAATTTTGTTGCTGGAATGTACAGACATCCTTTTGAGAAACTCATAGAGCCATAGATTTTTTATTCACTCGGACTCACGAGGATGACTTCAAATTGTGATGTGAATGACATCATTAAAAGGTATGTGATTCCTCTTTTACTAAAAAAATTATCTGGCAGGAAAATGTGAATGTTTCAGAGTGCCCATGAGTGTGAAAAAAATATATGGACCCAGCAAACTGGCCAGCCTTCATTGGTCTTCATCTCCTTCTTACTGAGCAAGATGATAACTTCATTATGACTTCTAGAAAACAGCAAATTTAATCAGTGAGGGCTGAAAAAACTGAGGGCCTAAGGCTGCAGCCTCGTCAGCCTATGGTTAATTGTGCTCTGGTCACATAGTAAATGTAACCTGAAGGAAACTCTTTTGCTCTTTCTTTAGATAGTTGTATTATGTTTTACTTTACCTTGTGTACAGAGGACATCTTCACGACTGTTGCATGGAGCAGAGGTAGTTTCTGAGTTTTGTGATTGGTCAGCTCAGAGAGAGAGAGAGAGAACATCACGAATGCAGTTTGATGCATTCAAGACATACTCGTTTCTGACTTCAGAGAGCTAAGACTTACTTGTAAGGTCTCCTTTGTGTTTCCAACCTCCTAAATGCTGCTTATACAATCATCTTTCATTAAATATAGTGTCATTTATTTCCACATATTAACTTTTCATTTGCAGTAGGCCTACAGCTCTAATGATTACCTTCCAATTGTTTACTTGTCTTAAGAAAAGCAAATGTTCTATATTTTCTTTTTATTCAACTTCAACATTGTGTGGTTTCTCTCATTTCACCTACAAAAAAGTAACTACACCTATCTTTCTGCATACTAGACTCAACTCTTGAGTAGCAGTGTGCTAGGTTTAATTTTGAAATCCTCACAAGTGAATAATTATTAGTTTTAAACTAAGAAAGAACTCACTTATGGTTTAGTGTGCAACTACAACATATACAATATTGGATGTGATTAAGGAAATGTACAGATGATGAGCAGTTTCAACTAAGTTGTCAATTCATCATTAGTGCGATACATTATTACAGATAATATAATAGATAAACAAATACTTTGTACAGTGAACTAGTGTTTTGTATTTGCTTTAAAAAACCAAAGAGTAGCGAGATTAATCATTTATTCAATTCTGAGAAGGAGATTAGTGGAACTAACCATTATGTTCAGTTCTGGTTTATAGGCCATAATGGCCTAAGTTTTTGAACTGTAAGGGCTCTTCATCAGAAGTATAGAAAAGGAATATCAGACTGGTCTATTAGAACAAAAGAATTACATCTGTAACTTTTTAATAAAGTTGAAACATTACAAATGTAATATCGTTATTCTAACAGACCAATTAAAGTTTTTTTTGTTTTTTTTTTCGTGCATCTGTTGAACAACCTTTTACAGTATTAATTATTGTGTGATTGTAAAGTATCATTTGAAATGTTGTGCATCATTCCCCTCAACTCACCCAAGCTGTTTGGTAGGTGTTTCACTTTCTCGGTTTCCTTATAAGTCCACACACACACTTAATATTACTTATATCAGGACTTTGTACAAGCTAAGCCTTTTTTTTTCTTTCCAGCTGGGTACCATTTCACCACATTTGCTGCATACTTGAGGTTGCTGTCTTGCTGGAAGATGAATTGTTACACAAAAGGTCTTTTTTTTCCTGAAGGAATGACATGATATCTAAGAATCTAGTTTTACATGTGAGCAGTCAGGGTGCGACCATTTTTATGTAGATGTACAGAATCACTGACTGAAATGCAGTACACACATCTGTTGTTCTCAAGCATACCTCACTTCAGATCATGTATGTTGACCATGATATCCATTCTCATCTCTGTCATTTGATTGTTGTCAAATAATTTGAATTTGGATTCATGTGTAAAGATTAAAGAGCACCCTTGTTTATTAGCTTTGCTCACTGCATTGTTTGAATTATGATGTCCATTTGAGCCTTTTGATTTGGTTATTTCACCTTAGCAGTGATTTTTCAGGAACTACATCCATTAAGGCCACTCTGTACTAATGTACACTGAAAACTAGGGTCGTTGGCAAGATTGCTGCACAGCCTGAGTTACATAACATCACTTTTTGAAGGGTTTGACTACCTACTCTGACTGCTTCTTTTTTAAACAGTACTAGTTTCTGAGTTTCACTATGGCTAGCTCCTACTGAAATGTGAAATTATGACTCATTTTATCACATGGGAGTAGATTTCTTCAACTTAAACTTTGATTTCTACACATTTGTAATGTGGCATCTCTTCCCTGGAATCCACAAGTGCATTCACCACACTACTGCTGGGAATTGTCTAACTGCCTCTACTTTTACAAACATGTTTGTGTGGCACTATCTGATTGGTTGGATAATAGATAATCATGGTATTAACTATTAACTATATTTGTAATGTGGCATCTCTTCCCTGGAATCCACAAGTGCATTCACCACACTACTGCTAGGAATTGTCTAACTGCCTCTACTTTTACAAACATGTTTGTGTGGCACTATCTGATTGGTTGGATAATAGATAATCATGGTATTAACTATACTTGTAATGTGGCATCTCTTTCCTGGAATCCACGAGTGCATTCACCACACTACTGCTAGGAATTGTCTAACTGCCTCTACTTTTACAAACATGTTTGTGTGGCACTATCTGATTAGTTGGATAATAGATAATGATGGTATTAACTATTAACTCGTGAATGTACTGATCATTTTCAGATTATAGTCTCATGATATTTACATTTTGTACCCATTTTATTCATTGTTTTCATAATCATTTCCTGTACTGAATAGTAGTTATTGAGAGGCTTAAAAATACTTTATTGTTACATGATTTGTGTGTGTGTAAGTTAGTTTCAGTGTATTATCCATCTGATCGTTCACAGAAAACTACCCTTCTCAATCATGATGTTTTTGTTTGGCTGTTGTTTTTTGAACTTTTAAAACTGATAAATTGCCGACCCAAATTCTTTTCCTTTTTGGAAAAACAATCGGAAAAAAAACCATCTGTAGCCATAAACATAATTTTGAAATTTTTTCACTGTAAAAATACTTTTGAATATGAGATGTTTAATCTTAATATAAATGGTTTATGTTCTTTTTGTTATCAGGTACTTTTTTTAATTAATCAGTTTAATAATAGTTTTATAGTTCTTATGAGAAGTTATACTATCAATTAATTTGTAATCTATATATTTGTTTAATAAAGTGTATGTTTTATTAATAGATGTGATCAAGCTTCCTCCAGAAAAATTCACCAAGTCTAGTGAAGGTGGCCCTCAAGAGATTGCCACTGAACCAGCTAAGTTTCTGTTGAATTCTGCAGAGGAGCTGTTTGCTGAACTTAGAGATAAAAATTTCAATGCTGTCGGTGGCTTATTAAGTAAAAAGGCAAAATTGCTATCTGCTCAGTTTGAGGTGAGCTTGAAAACTTAGCCTTACAGAAGTTATCTTCTTTAAGAAGTGAAAAAGTTATGCTATTCTTATATTGGGATTTTCATTGTACTTAATTATTAGCTTCCTCTAATGTCGTGCCGTATTGTTCGGTGTATAAGACGCACTTTTTTACCCCAAAATTTGATGTCAAAATCTGCTTGCATCCTATACACCAAGGTATGAATAATATATTTGTATATATACGATATACACAA